GTGTGTGTGTGTGTGTGTGTGTGTGTGTGTGTTACTGCTGGAAAGCATTAAAGCAGTGAAGCTGCTGCTTAATGGAAAACAATGAACTGTTTTCATTAGGGACACTTGCATGTTGGTGGAGTCCTTGTTTTTGTTTTTTTTTCCCTTTTATATTCCTGCAATTCTGACAAAACAAAACTATTGTAAGAAAATAATGTTACGTTTCACTAACCTTATTTTAGTTGATTTACTTGAAATTGAGAATTTTTTTCTGGTCCAAATGTCCTTATATGGTCAGGAAAATAAATGCAAAATCTATAATAAACTGTTTTAAGTTTGCATAGAAATATTAAATTTAAAGTTTTTCTCAAAAGTATTTAGATATTTACAATAAAGAACCTACTAATATATGAAGCTATAGTGACAAACAGAAGTAAACAAAAGAAGCACTTCTTGAAGGAATGCATACAGCACCCTGTGTTGAAAGGCAAAGTTTAAAAAACAATCTGACAGATTTTAATGTGTGTTGCACATCCTGGTTTGCTTACATTCATGTGTTTGTGTCCTTTTCTTCTTGGCACATTTTGAAGTTCAGTTCCTCCAGGAAAACATCTTCCCACCTGCCTGTTATTCAGAACCATCAGTTAAATGTTTGTTACACTAACAGTGATTGAGTTTTTATTTTGTTTAGAAATGTTAAGGCCTGTGAATGTCAGATGATTCAACATAATCATCGTGTTTCAACCTAAAAATCTCTTAGAAAAATCCCAATTTTTACACGAATTGAGACCAAACCCAACCCAGTCAGACTTCTTCAGAGTGATTCACAACTTGATAGGCGAGTTTATCTCCTCCTCCTGTGGTGATGGCATGAAGGGCGTTCAGCTCACACAACCCTTCGTGAAGCTTTGCGTGATCTTTTGTCTCGTCGTTTTGGTTTTCTACGCYGCTCTTCAGTCAGGGACCCTTTTCACTGAAATATCTCTCAACAAAGATGACAATCAATATTTCATGAATAGGCAGCAAGCACTACCGTGGAAAACTGAGATTTATCGTGTGGATGTTTTACACAAATCCACACCTGCGCGCRCACACACACACACACACAGAAACACTCACGCCTGAGTACTGAAATCCTGAAACTAATACTAATACTCTGAAGCTTTTAGAAGAGATACAAGAACATTCAACGTATTTGATACTTAGACTGTGATACTGTGACATAAACCCACAAATTGTCATAATTACTTTAAYTTTTTTATTTAATCTTTTTAGACAGAAAATCTGCTCCATTCTCATGATAGCCATCAAAATAATGAAAACTAACTCTACAGGATGTTTTAATTTTAATAAAGTTTCAAGGGGAGAGATTTGAACTTAAATCAAAGAACTAATTAGTTTTTAGTTTATTTTTATTTATTAAAARAACTWTAAAGAGCACAGATCCATTCACTTTAWTTACACTCCCAACAGTTCCATAAAACTCTTTAGTGTACAGTAAATTCATTTAGTTAAGATCTAAAGTACTATTTGAATGTTGGTTAGTTGATACATTTAGCCGGAAAKATCTTTAAAGTAATAGTTCAGATCTTTTGGAGTGGGGATATGTGGAATGTAAATGAGCAGTTATTATCTTACCTGTTACATCACTTTGTTTGATCTTCGTTTGGAGAAACAGACTTTAATTTGGAATGGCCTGATGAGCTAATGGCTAGTCTGATTGAGGACAAGGCCAGAGTGGACTGCTGGTGTCTTAAAAGAGTGCCAATCTCAAGCATTTGGTGGCGATTTATGGTATATTTTGTAAACACCTATGTCAGTTTTACAATACACCGATATAAAATTCCATAGTTATTTTCACAAGCAAATAGCAGCTAGCAGTACACKTACAGCTGACTTAAAATATGTTGGCTACAATGTAAAAATCAACCCTACTGTAGATCATAATACTGGAAATATAGGGTCCTGAGCGTCAAATAGTTACTGTTTTTGGCAAAAATATATTACAAGAACTGAAAACATGACATGGCATCAGTCTACTTCAGCCATTAGCTCACCAAACCAGTCAGAACCCAACACTATCTCCAACAGGTAAGATGATGTTTATCCATTACCATTCTATACACATGCAAAAAATAAAAAAATAATTAAAAGATCTGAACTGTCTTTATATATATATGTTTTAAACCCACAGGACCTTTAAAAAGCACGTGGTAGTTTCCAAAACCCAATGAGAATGGCTGCTTAGGAAGTAGCTCAGTTCTGCACACTCTGAAATGTAACACTGTATTACAGGGTTGGGGTCGATTCAGGTTGCCTTGATGGAGAACACCTGTTCACTTATGGCACTAAGGAATCAGCAGTATTACAGCATGTGATTACAATTGAATCCTACAGCAGAACAAACTTAACACAAAGTGTGTGTTCTTCGTGGTTTGAGCTCTCAGAAGAATGGACCCCAACCTTGCCTAAGCCATCAGTCTTTGTAAAATACACGGTTTCCAGGGAACTGAATAAAAAATGATTAAAAATATATATTTGAATGACCTTAGCCAGCTCTTATATGATGTTGTTTGTAGGTCTCGAGGCTGTCTGTTTTGTAAAAGCAAAAGAAAAAAAATCACAAGTAACATTTCTACCCATTGACTTTCTATGCTGTTGTTTCTGTATTAATGTTCTACTGTTCAGTGCATGTTGTAACTTTGGCGTTGTGGCTGGTTGTGATTCACACAAAGCCAATTCTTGTCATGTAAAAAGAAAAGAAAACCACACAAAAAAAAACAAGTGTCTAAATGTCTTCAGATATTTCTATTTCTTAAGAAAAAGCAACGTTTCCCTATGAATGACTCAAAATGAAATAAATCAAATCACTTTACATTTTGATTCATGAACTGTTGACTTTCTTTGCACACATGCCTACATACAGTATATTTCAGTATATTTCAGTGCATTTATGAAATATTTGGGGGCTGACAATGGAGAGGAAAGGACGGTAAATGAAGAGGAAGTTTGGGCAGGTGGAAGCTGCCAGGCCAGCCTCCCAAACTGTCTCCTCACAGCCCTAAATCGAGGGCTTCCCACCACCCGCCACTAGAGATACTCAGGGGAGAGAGGGGAGGACAGAGCTACAGGATGGCTCTTTGAAATCCAAGTGAGAAACAACGTTGCCATCTAGTGGTAGTTTATTGTCAGATAAAGGTAGTTTGGTGGTAATCAGACCTAACAAATGGGTTTCAGGTGACAGTCTTGGTAAGAGAAAGGAAAGGAACTGCAGCAGCACGACTGACCCAYGTCTGTACTCTGCTGTCTTCAAATACAGACTGAGATTGGGTCACATGCAAAACAGTGACGAACAGATCAAGATGCTTAGAAAAAACATGTCAGCACAGTAAATGACTGGTGTCTGCACAGTTTGAGCACAATGTGCAGATTCACTCCATTCCCATGAGATTTTTTTTAATCATCTCTATCTCCATCTTCTACTGCTTATTCATAGTTGGGTCTTGGAGGCAACAGGTCCAGGATCAAAACCCAGCAACACTTGGTTCCTCCTGGGGGGACTCCAAGGCGTTCCCTGGTCCGAGAAGATACCTGTACCTTCCAGCAAGTCCTGGGCCTGCCTCTGGGCCTCTTCACAGTGAGACGTGTCCAGAAAAACGCTAAAGGGAGGCATCCTAATCAGATGTCCAGTCCACCTCCACTGACTCCATTCACTAAGGAGCAGAAGCTCTGCTCTCCTCGTCCTATATTAAGGCTGCTGTTCCTATCTGGGATCTCCTCTTTTTAATCATGATCAATGATATTTGGGAGAAAAGTAAAAAAATTTCTGCCGCTACTTCAACACGATCAGTAAATAAGTCATGTCTCAGCAGCTGAGCCACTATAAAGTTAATTTTCCATTTTATATTTGGGAAAACTCACTATAAGTCACAATTTCTACATCAAATGCCACTTCTGTCTGTGAAAGTCATCATCTTAGTGAATACTTTATTCTGATTGGCTTTATGAAGATTACAAAAAAAATAATTAAATGAATAAAATGATCACTGTTTAATTTGAATTGCACCGGTTCAGGAGTCGAGACTCGCCAGCTAAGCCTGAGTAAACACGGCAACAAGGCCTGCATTACAACCTCAGTTTATGATCTACTGTAAGAGTTACAACTAAAACATCAAAGTACACTCATGGTACACAGAAAGTACATCATGTCCCAGGTATAAAATATGGATCACAGAATATTCCTAAAGGCCTAGCATCGCCTGATGCTTTCATTGCAGTAGGTTTAAACTGCATCAACTTTAACTCAATATGTGTAACACTGAAYTGAGTTGGAGCCTTTTTTTTTGTGTTGATCTTGTTTGAGATCTTACATGATGTTTGCTAGGTTCAGTGTTGTATAAAGTACCATAAAATGATACTTGAGTAAAAGTATAAGTATCTTACCAAAAAATTACTTTGGTAAAAGTAAAAGTCTCCTTCAGGAATCTTACTTTATTATTATTAAAGTATCTGATAATTTTTGTACTTAAGAATTAAAAGTATTGATTTAAAATGAGCAGATAGATTTTCTGTAACATTTATGAGGACCTCTCCAAAAGAATTGCAGAACTGACTGTTGTATTAAAATAAATAATTTGTTTAATTTAGGATGAACTAGTCCAGCTGTTTGTTTATATGCACATATCAAAGGCGCCCAAATGGATGGATGGATAGATGGGCTGTGGGTCCAATGCAATAATATAATTCATGAAATACAAATACTTCTTAAGTACAGTCCTTTCATTTTAATGATTATGTCCTGCTGGAGTGTGACATGATTTGTTTGTGTACAAACTAATATAGTATCAGAGTTTTATATATTTATACTTCTCATTCAACTGCAGTTACATTCACTCTATCCAGGAGGCACAATTTATATGGATAGTATTTGTTTTTTACAATAAGCTGGAATAAAATCAAGCACATATTAAGTAAAAGTAACAACTTTCTACTTCTTGCCTTTTTTAATGGAAGGAGTAGAAAGTACAGATAAGTGTGTGAAAATGTAAGAAGTAGAAGTAAAAAGTAAGCTGAAAAATAATTACTCAAATAAAGTAGATCCCCAAAAAATCTACTTAAGTACAGTAACAAAGTATTTGTACTTTACTTTACAACTCTGGCTAGGTTTAACCAAAACGGCTTTAACTAATCATTTCACAACAATTTTAGTTTCAAACTCTGACGAGCAAAATGAATTGCTTCTATAATAAACTTTTTTTTTTAAATCAATGCCATATTGCAGTTCAAAGATGGCAGATTAATCTTAGACTGAGTGTAGATTCAACATGAGCTTGATGTGCTCACCTTCACTGCAAAGCAACTCAAAGTCCTTTTGCAGACCTTTACTGTCACGTTTTACATAAAAGTGAACCCAAAACGCACTGGTTGCAAAGTTTCCACTGGCCTCTGAACTTCCTGACCATCACATCGATGATCATCTCTCACTGCATTCACTGTTTAGGCTGCCATCTGCGGCCAACCTCACACAGGTTTTCATTTAGTCTGAGCAAATCTTAATATCGAGCAGGAAGCTTGGCTTCGTGAACCACTTATAGGCTGAGCAGCTCGGCCAGTAAGGAGGGGGGCTCAGACGACTGGGCATCTGGTGAGGAGGACTCCTGGACGTCTCAGCGGGAYGGTGTTCTGGACGCGTTCCACCTGGAAGGAGGTCTCGAGGTAARCCCAGGACCCCCAGCTGTGAGGAACATTCTCTCCAGCTGGGGGTCCTGGCCTAGGAACGCCTCGGTGCTTGCCAAGAGGAGCTGGGAGAGGCAGCTGAGGGGGTGGTGGTGGATGTGTGTGTGTGTGTGTGTGTGTGTGTGTGTG